ACAGCTCAGACCCATACGGTTGGAAAATAATGCAGGGAGACGTTTTGAGGAGCAGCATCTGGGGTCCCCAGCTAAAGTACCTAGAAATGTCAGGCTGGAGTACAGCTGGGGTATGGGTATGGCACTGGTGGAGCATCACCAGAACTGTGCTGCAGTAATGCTGGGTACCACGGTGAGTCCTGGTGGGTACCACCAGCACCGGCTGCGCTTGTGCACCTCGAGCCTCACCAGGGCCATGAACAGCTTCTGGGAGGGGGGGGCAGGGGGCAGGTGATGACACACATGGACTCTTTTAAGCTCAGTTTTATAAGTGGATTTTTTGTCTGATCCTCTAAGGAAGCAGTTTAAGAAAGTGTGTGTGTGGTGGTGGCTGTTTCCTGGCGCATAGTGCAGGGCCGGGGCTGTGCAGGACGGAGGGCAGTGGGCGATGTCTCGCTCAGGACCATCAATGCCACGTGCCAGCCCTGCACAGCCTCATGGTTTCAGCCCCACAGGTCACTCGTGCTGTGGCACCATCTTGGCAGGTGATGCCTCTTTGGATGACCTCTGCACGCTCTTGTGCCCTCCTGCTCAGGCTGTAGCAGGCGTCAGACCCAGCATCTCTTTAAAATGAGGCAGGAGAGGTATTAACTTTGGGAGGTAAGGACAGGGCCCACCTCAAGACATTTAAGCGAGAGCTCATTCTTCAGGTTCCCCAGGGGAACGTCACTGTTCTCCAGGCAAGGTCACAGGCCAGCAAGGAAACACACGTTTCCCTGGAGAAGTGAATTGCAGTGCTGAACTTCAAAGAATCTTATCTACAGGATTAGAAATCTTACTCATTTCTAAAAAGATCTTGGAGTACTTTTGCAGGTAGATAATCAATATTTTTAACAAGTGACCTGTCCCACCCCCTCAGTGGCACCGCAGATGCCTGTGGCAGCAGGCACAAAAAGACTCCGAAGCTCCGGTGGAGGTCAGCACCATCCCGGCCAAAGAAGAGATGTTCAGGTTTAAGGGAACGGAAGATTTGTGTATGTGTGTATATAGAGAGAGAACGTGCAAACAATTGGTCAGAAACTGCCAGTTTTTCCATCACTCCTGCAAACATCCACTGACATTTTATAAAGTTATGGGAAAACTGAAAGAAATGGAGTGAAAGTTTACCCGTTCCTGGTACTTTTCAAAATTAAGTACCTACATAAAATGACCAATATGGTTGAAATGGCCGTGTACACAAACTGCACCTGCGATACAGTTCAGCGAAAAAGAACTTGAAAATACAGGTAAAAAGCCAAAACGCACCACTTTGCCCAAATGTTTGCAATTTATTTTAAACAAGCACATTAGTTTACAATTTAGTACAAAACAGTCACTTTTCCTTCCTAGAGAGGGATGAGACTGAGTAAAAAACCAAACAAGCCAAAACAGAATAGATTTGAAAATGCCAAGTTATTGAATTAAAATAAATAAAACATTTAAATTACTGAACTGTTATAGTCACTGTTTTCAACACCTCATATGCAATGCACAGACGGAGACAACCCACCTCGGCCTCTGGCTGAGGTGGCACCTCCATCCAGTTGTAAGCAGGATGGATACACTGCTCTCGGCCTCTGGCTGAGGTGGCACCTCCCATCCAGTTGTGAGCGGGGAGAGCAGGATGGATACACTGTGGGAAATTTAAGAGTTCTCAGGAATACCATCATTAGGTTTCTTTAGCACTCGCAGCTTTTCTTTCTCTCCTGGCACATTCCATGGTACTCCTTTTATTTTCTATGCAGGTTTAATATTTCCTCTTTAAAAATATCTGAACAGCAAAGGCGGCTCCATGAATTACAAAGGGCCACGAAATCCTTCTCGGAAATGACTGCCGTCAGCATGGTGTGATCCACAAATGAAAACGGCATCGCAGAAACTTCTGTGGTACAACACAATACACAAATAAAACCCCCAGGACTGAGGAGAAGGTGCTTTGAGGGAATTTCTAAATAGGAAACACTTTTTCGTAACTCACCCACCGATAATGCACCACGGCAAAGCAGCATGACACGTTCCTCAGCAGACATAACACATCTTTACAGTTAGAGTACAGAAAAGGATGTAATTTGTCATTATAAAGACAGAAAAGAAGAACAAGTAAACCAAGATTTACACAACTGAATTCAAAGCCAAGAAAACTTTTCCAGGTGAGGTCACTACTAGCAATTGAAGGGAAAGCCTTGGCCAGTTAACTTGGCAACAGAGTTAGAGCACCAACACGGATAATCAACATCCCAATTTCATGATTTTACACTTTTAAGAAACAAAAAAGGAACCCTGGAGGTCTGAGTACCAGTTCATTTTGTCATGTTTCCAGCAGGGTCACAGCAACGTGAAAGTCAACGGTGTGTAGCAATAAAAAAAAAAAAAACGTATTCAAAATCACATTTGCTGCTGGTTTAATGGCAAACGCACCCCTACAAACCTTCAAAGCCTTCTGTTTTCATGTGCAGATGAAAATAAGCAGGGTGAGTCCAAGCTAACCGACTCAGGTCTATATATTGGGTAGACTCCTAAACAACAGCAGAAATGACTGATTTTCAACTTCAAAATGTGTGACAATATGGACAGCAGGAAATTCAACAGTCCCACAGAAACTGATCACATTTCCCAGATCCAATACTTGCTCTGCTGCGGTTTTGGTTTTTTGGTGTGTTGGTTTTTTGTTGAGCTTGTTGGGTTTTTTTGAGAAGCTTAAATGTCATTGCTCATTGGTAGATATCAACATCTCCCCAGATTAGGCCACTTACAAGTTGTTGGATTTGGAAACTCTGGGCTTTCCTGTTAACGAGCCTCCTCCTGGGACCTCCCACTGGATTCCAGCTCAAAGCAAGTGGCACCAATGAGCCAGCCTGGCCCACCTTCCACCACTGGCTCACTATCTTTCTAGTTGCTTACAAGTTGTTTTAATATTAAAGCCCAGGTGCTATAAAGATAATTATAGCGACTCTTATAAATTCCTAAAGAAGAGAGACCCACAATTGCTCCTTGTGCCAGAACTCTCGAACACTGAGGGTCCTTAAAAAGCACCGACTGACTTAACGTCAAAATTAAGGAGAGACGTTTTCATGTTAGACCACAGGCAGCAGCTCCAGGCTCCGTGGAGGCCGTGCATGGCAGAGGGCAGGAGCCAGCGCCAGCCCCTGGCATCACCGAGAGAGCACCGAGCCAAGTTTCTCACATCAGAGCAAGAGCCGTGGGGTGTATGCAATAGTGACCATGGCTTAAGAAAACCTCTAGGTATATCAGATTAACAGTGCCATGTGAATGGAGACTTTTTTTTTTTCCTCTGACATGTTTACAATAACTATGGAAGGTTATTACTTTATGTGTATGTTATTTTGATAAACTTAAGGAACACGGGACAGTAAATCTTTAAAGCTCCATTGTGTTATTCCACTCGGATGCTGCAGAAAGTCATCTCGCAAATATTCAGTTTTGTGAACAAACAAGATTTGATTATGAAAAAACATCCCTGATGACTTTTTGTGCTTTTAGACCATTCTTGTTGCTAGGCTTTAAACTTTCTATGCTAGGGCTTATGCAGGAAATAAGAGGAGGACACACTAACAGTATAACTCGAACAAATTGGCCAGGGACTATTTATTCCTTCTCGCGTAACAGAAGAGCTAGCAAATGTTCAATTAAATTAAAAGTTGCAAATGTAGAATTGAAAGGAAAAGCCTTTTTATATAACATAATTAATCTGTAGAACTCACTGCCACAAGAAAACATTGAGGCCAAAACCTATTAGGATTAACGAAAGATTAGGTAATGGATAACTAGAACATGCTCAATTACATTGGATAGGATTATAAACTTCACTATCCAGGACGTGAATTATCCCCCACAGCTAGGATCAGAAAGGAACTCCCATTCCAAATGGTAATTTTATAACTGTTTTCATGGTTTCTTCTAATTGCTGCCAGCCAGGACCCCAGACAGATCTGTAAAGGAAACTGCCATATTCCCAATTGCTGCCACATCCCAGAACGGAACAGCCCTCAGACTTAACCATTAGTTAAACCCTTCTTGACCCAAACAGAGGAGCACTCCAGCAGAAGGGCAAGAGAAATGGGCTGTTTTAAGTACTGTACAGATGACTTTACAGCTAGCAGGTGATATTCTTCAAGAGCTCAGAACTGGAAATATCAAGTGAAGTGTTTACCCCACTTTACAAGAAGAAAAATGACTATATCGTAAAGAAGTTATCAAACATCATAAAGAACTTAGTATGTCCAGATCTGTAAATTTGTTCTGGCCTGTTGATGCAAGTGGAGTCTCCTTGTCCTTCACTAAAAATGGTGTTTCCCTTTACTGGAGTTCATCAGAATCGGCTTCCATCAGGATAACACAATACTCAGCTACTTTTCTGGTTCAGAAATGAGTGAGGCAAGTTATCTAATGCCCCATTAACACATCCACTAGAGGAGCAAAAGTAAAGCACTGGGTCCGAGTCTGTCCTTGCTTACATCTAAGCTCCATGAAAATAGACGACAGCATTAGCAATCAGAATCGGGCTGCTAACTGAGATACAAAACACCCCAAAAATCTCATCACAGCAGAGACATACACATCCTTGGCTGGGATGCATGGGAGAACGGAAGACTTACTTGAACATGTAATGCTTTCTACGTTAAATGTGCAGTGTAAATAATATTTCAGAAAGTCACATAGATTTAGAATTGATTTAATAAGAAGAGAACTCTTGTTTCCTGAAAAAAAATAAAATATCAGAATTCTTGCTTCTCCAAATGAAGCAGCCAAGGCAACAGCATAACTGTTCAGTACTCTGGTAGGTAAAGTCAGCTCTGGATAAATTAAAAAAACCCACTGACTTGAAGTACACAAAACGATATCCAATTTCCTTCTAACACCAGGCACAGTTGATTGCATAATGTAATGTTTACTCTGAAAATGAGTAAAGGATGTAGGTGGTAAGTCATGGAAAAATCTTAACTGAGAAATGCAACACTTACTTCACTGGACATTTTCTGACAGCACTATGTGCCTCAGTTAAAGATTAAGGTCCTTACAGCGAGCTCCATATATTAAGCTAGAACACTTGTGAAATTACTTGGGAACAAAGGGGTTTTAAACAAGGAATACTGTATATAAAATCCCTGATCATAAATATTAAAGCTGTATCTGGTACTGAACAGCCACACGCAATGAAGACTTTGCTTCTGATTTAAACTTCTATACAGATGAACGATAATACTTCACTTTCCACCGTTTAGATCTCATCCGGAAAAAAAAGTACATTATCATTAAAAATAAGGACGATGCTACGTACAGTATGACACACAGACTCATGTCTATGTTTGAAAATCCAATCCCTAAGAACGACACAGCCTGCTTCGTCTCTTTAAGGTTCGCCGATTCAACTGCGCTTTTACCGCTATCTTTGACAGGTCCGTGATTTGCTATTAGCTTATCTAACACCTTAGATTCTGAATCTAGTGAGTTTTCTTTATCCTGCATCTTATTTTCTCTGTTTCCACTTGGTTTCTTCAGTAGGCTTTTGTCTTTCAGCTCCCGTGTATCTCCCTGTTCAGTTTCACTGGAGTCTGTCTGGCTTTCAATGTATTTATATAGAATATTTTCACTGTTATAGTGATACTTCATGAACTGTAGAACTTGGGCTTCATTCCAGCTGTGTAATCCTTTAATTTCTTCATGACATGCAGGACAAATGTCTGGAGTTGGCCACTGAACTTTGGGAAATTTTGGATCTTCAGTCAAATCACCTAATTGGGAGGAGAAAAAAAAAAAAAAAATCAGAAGTGAATGAACTGGGAAAGCTGAACATCAGAGGCTTCACTGGAAACCGCAGAGAGCATTTTCCACTTATAAATAGCGAGGTTGGAAAAAAGCCCACAGTACAATAAAGTTTGTATTAAACTGAAGGCAATCATGAATACATTTGGAAATTTGTAAGTTTCCTTCTGGATGCATCAATTATGTTCCAATGTATTTCTTCCTCTTTCAAAATACAAACATTAAGTCCTAATTATTTTCATTTTCTCTCAGTAAAAGCTGTAGCCTTCAAATTCTAACACAAATAGATATTACAATTGCTATGTTTTCAGAAGGCATGAAAACACCACCGTCTGGGCCTTTCAGGGGTTAACTTGAATTATGGTTCAAAACAAACTGCTCTTTTGCACTCAATACTCTTTAATCCCGAAGCCTGGTTTGCAGCGAGCAGTTTCAAGGCCAAAGAGTTGCAGATATTTTCATGTTTCTATATCGTGAACCATTAAATCTTAAGCTTGCTGTTTCATAGCTTGCGTTACAGCAAACTATTTTCAGTGCTTTAAAAACCATTATCATTTTTAAGATGTGTTTTTCAGCTTGCTTTTTAGCATTTAAACATATAACGCTGTCTTGAACTAGATCCAATTTTAGCATTTCCGTTGCTCACAGCTCTGCCCACCTTTCCGTCTTCATGGTAAAGAGCTGAAGGCTGTAGCTAATGTTGCACTTTGCTCCAAAAAATAACATTTTAAAATATGGATGGAGAGAATTTTTAGAACAAAAATCTCTACGTGGTAAAAAAGCTAATTTATTTAGCTGATTGTTATTGGTACACTAATGCTTTAAATATTTCTGAAATAAATATTGATTCTTATTTTATTATTATTTTTATCCTTTTTAAAGGCAGGAAACTTCCCCATGATTTTGAGCAAAATATTGTTCTGGGACTCAAAGGATGCTTAAAAATATTTGTCTCCTTGATATTTACAAGTAAGAGAACAAGTTTGCCTTTCAGGTATCTTGAATAAAGATCACTCAGTCATCAGTTTGTTTCAGTAGAGAAGGTAGAAACAAAACGTCTTATGGTATGATTACAAACAGAAAAGTATATTCGAAAGCAAGAGGAAAGGAATAAGCAGGGCAGAGTCGGATACAGCAATCTCATGACCGACGCTTGAGGGCTGTGCCAAGGTGTTCTCATTGACCTGTCAAACATAATTTCACATTGAAAGCTATATATATTACCAGAAATACACATGCAGCTTTTAAGGATTAAAATAAGTCACTGTCCCAAAGAGAAATTTTAGCAAACTTAAAAAGCATAATTTAACATTATTATTTATTCCGGTATGTTTATACTTCTTACTAAAAGCGTATTTTAGCCAGCTGTTGCATCATCTAAATCAACATCCATGAGAGTTTTCCAATAACTTAATGTTCTAAATAAGTATATTGCTCCACTACTTAGCAACTTCAAGTCAACAGGACCACCTTTTTCCGTGTTCAACCTGGCAATAGTAACCAACATTAGGGGATGTTTTTATTTAATACCTCTTCATTTACTTTCTTCTCCCTGGAGAAGAGACAAACTGTTTATACTCACAACAGTACTTAATACTTCATAAATCTTGGGAATTCAGCATAACCATAATATAAACACAATATAGCATATTTAAATTGTAACTAATGCTACATTACACAGATCCATAACAGCAGACAGGGATTAAGTGCAAAGAGAAACCAATTTTCTTTAGTGCTTTAGTTACTTGATATCCCCATAACAGAACGGATTAAATACAACCAGTATTTTAACGGTACTTTTAGTCTAACTGAAAACATAGCAATCTAGCGGGGGAACAGATTTTCTTCATACAGTAATTTTATTTTATTCAGTTGCTGATCTGCTAATAGTTTAGGCTCTTTTATCCTGAGAAAGTCTCCTGTTCAATTATCATCATTTTCTGTACAGCATCTCTCCAGAACAAAATGAAGATGGGTTTTAACATCTATTTAAACTGTTACAGAAAGAAATTCAATTATGTTTTATCCACCGATAAGCAGCTGAACTGTATTGCTCCCTTTTGAAAAGGCTTTGATTTGTACTCCAGAAAGATCCTCTTATCAAGCAACAGGTGAAATCTCAGAAGAAACAGTACCTTTGAGAATGATGAAGTTTTTTCATTATATATCATAAGAGGATATATGGAGGATAGTGTATATTTCTCACTCATGCAAAGGTTAGCGTGCCGGTCTTTAGAGTTACAGTTGACTGGGATTCCCTACGTTTTGCTCTATACTCAAATACCCTTTCTTGTACACCAATGTAACTGTGGAGTCGTCTTTTGAAGTCAACATTTAATAAAGGAATGTCAAGCTGGAACAACAGTTACCGTTGTTTTAAACTCATGTCACAGATCCTAATTTGCATTTATTTGTTCAATGTAAACCACGCTGTATAATGTGCCATAGCCCTGTCTTTCAGACGCAGCTACCTTTGGTGGGTTTTCCTAAGCCAGGTCTTCCATACCTGCGAGCCTGTTATTCACTACGTTGTGTTTCTCCCAGAGCCAGAGAACAGCCTTGTCTAAGGTTTTAACAGAATCCATGGACTCTTTAGCCATTTCTTCAAAATGCTGAGCACAAGCCTTGCATCCAAAAAAGTGGTGAATGTATCTCCGCATGATCTGAAGGACTATTTGAGGATTGTCTTCAAGACCTAGGAAGACAGATGATAAATGCATTTAGCACCATCTGGACAAACATAGCTTCAACATACGCACTTCAACGTACATAAAAGGGAACCATGGGAAAAGGAAAGGAAATGTTGCATCTTGTTCCATGCAAATTTACACCTCCACTTTAGGTATAAGGAACTAGCCACTTGTATATTTTAAAGATATCCACTGGACATGTGCCATCACACAGAACCTATACCTCAGTAAGTCACAAAGATACTAGAGGGATTAAAGCTTCACACAGTTTTTTAGAAGGAATACCACTCCCCAACAAAATACATATACTACCTAAGTAGTTGAGGCGAGACATTTATTGATTCATTGCCAAATAATTTGGTTTCTAATGTAGAGTTTAAAGCGATCTCAGACAGTACATTTCAAAACACACTGTTCTGAAAGGTTGTCTGGGATATCAGATACAACCACAACGGAATTATTTCAAACACACTAAGGTTCAAAAAAATGCTAGGGGAGCGATAGCATTATTAAAGATGCGAAGTAGCTATTTATACCGATACATACTGACCCATTTAGACTATACAATTGTCTTCAAAGTTACCCTGAATGGTACATTAAAAGCTGAGTTAAAGGTCAAGTGTTCTTTACAGTGAAATTTCTCCTTTCAAAGAATATCTTACAATTTGAGGGGGGAACAAACTTAGCTAAATGAAAAACAGACATTAATAATTTTTTCAGAAGCCCATTACGAGAGTACATTTTGAAGCTGTTAAAACACAAAGTCTCACGCTATCTACATTTCACGCAATTCTTCTGGAAGCACAGACTTTCTCCAATACCGTGTCCAACAACTAAATGAGTATCTATGTAATGCATTCACCACTACATTTACGCTCAGACACTAAGTTATAGTGACCTTGCTACGAAAAAAACCCGAGTCAAATACCCTCTAAGTATTTCACAAGGTGCCTGTGATATCTTTGTTACTCCGTGACTCTCAGGCGTTACAGAATACCAGAATCTCATTACAGTTATTAATGCCACAGCTTTTTTTTTTTGGCAGGCACTGAATGCATGCACATAATAGCTACTTAGCAACATTTGGACTTTCAAGAGTAACTCAGGAAGTCCTCCTAAAATAAATACAAACACTTTATTCTTTCTATGACATTCACACTTTTACACTAAAGATAGTGCAAAAAAATTTATTGTTTTATTCAGAAGTAAGCTAAGGTCTTTACAGATTAAGAACTTTGTCCTGGGCCTTTCTTGTGACAGCAGGTAGTCCCTACATCTATAAGTGGCTTGAAAACCTGACATAATTCATTAAAATCCTAATGGTTTCATCTCTCACAGATTTTCTGATTCATGCTTAATTGACCTAGTAAATTATGCCAAAATGTACTTACAAATGTACTATATGTTACCACAAACACACACTTGTCAAATGAAACACATTTTATGATGCAGATTGATCAAATTACCGACTCCTGCAGTTGAACATCTCTACCACGAGTAATTTACAATGCAGGTTTTGT